ATGATGCAACTTTTGTTTAAAGATTAATGAAAACCAGCCAAATGTAGCATTTTGAAAAATCAGGTCAGTATAACTACACACACATCCTTTTGCTTTGTCAACAAYAGCAACAAAAACCAGTCAGAGTAATTAAACCTGGCATACCAGCCAAAAGTCTCAAGCTTAGATAAATACAGTACCTCAAACCWAAGGCAGTTATTTGAAGAGTTCCATCTTTCAGCTACTTTTGCTAATTTTGTCAAATTGAAAGATTTTCACTACAGAATTGGCCCTTTAAATTGTTTGGCTGTGAAAGACCAGCCTGGCTTTATGGGTGAGCACAACCAGGTGCAAAGAATTTCCTATCAGACGAGTAGGACTTCAAATACCCCACAAGCTAAAGGCTTGAGAGATGAACCAGGCTACTGAAAATAGCTTTAKACTGMTATTCCTCCATTGGTCTTTAAGAGAAACAAGTCTGAGTCAAACTGGTGAGTGGAAAAARTGCCCCTTGCTCCCTGCAGACACAGGYATTTCTCAACCCTCAACACACACAGATCMAAAAAGAATGACAAGCCCAAGCTTTWAAAAAGTGCTAATACTATAAAAATGATTTGGTAAGCTTTTCACTCTCAAACAGTTGGTTTCTTGACAATGTGTCTCTGCAGCTCTGAAGCACACATAAAATAAAAACCTCATCAAGAACAGATCCCTGCAATGGGACAGATATGTAGTTGGAAGCTGTGAAAGTTCACACTTCAGAAAAATCAAACTAACAAACTCCCCAGGCCTGTTAATTGTTTCTTTAAAAAAAAAMCCCAACCCAAAACATAAGCTGTAAATAGCTGATCAGAGAGATTCTTGACTGATCTGTTTAACAACAGGTTTTATTAACCTTGCGTGGATTTCTTACATAAAAGTATGTGGATTACAATTTTTTTTCTTTCTACACRTATGAAACCTTGAGAAAAAATACTGAACTCAGAAACCAAACTTCTACAAGAGCCTAGCACAGAAACCCATACAGAAAGGCAAGGCTAAGCTTGTGTATTGAGTTAGTTCATGAAAAAAATTTTAAAAGGCAGAGSGTGTGTGTGAGCTGGGGGAGCACAGAGCCAGTAATRCCCMWYMAMMMCCYYCCMRKTWMMMGGGCTCTCCCCAGCAACAGGCAGCTTCCAGAAATGCAGTTTTAAAGCAGCTGGAAGCCTTGAATCCTTTCCATGTGAATAATGCATCTCCAGGAAAATGCCAGCTTAGATGCTCTTGTTTTCACCAGGCAGCAGAAACCAGCAGGACAGCAACAGAGCCTGGGCTGTTTGGGGTTTATCCAGGGATTTTTTGGGAATAGGTAGCAGAGGACACACATAGAACTCCATCAGGGTAATATATTTGATTGCTTCTGCAGCACATTACATTAGAGTCGAGTTCACACATGAAAGGTCCTCCAAATACAACTTCAGAACACCCAGGGCTGTGCTCCCGTGTTGAGAGCACAACAGCAGGGCATTGGAACCCACAAACAAGTCACTAGTGGATCACTGCAGAGATTTTTCTGATTCTGGAAGTCAGAAAAAGAAATGAGCTTGGTTTTTTCTTCAGAATCCACTGAAGAGATTTATCTCTCAAGTTTTAGGTGAAATAAACTGKAGGGAGCAGTTCACAGAAACTGCTTAGTCTCTGCTTGCTGAAATACCAGCAGGGTGACTCAGGGCATGCATCCTAATTTTGCCTCTTTTTTTTTTCTTTTTTTAAGAAAAAAAAGTCTTTTGCAACAGTTATTTATRCCCAAGAGCAGAAGGAATAATTATGCCTCCATTCCCCAAATCTTGGAATTTGCCCTCTACTGAAGCCATGAAGAGAACTGCAGCTAAGTGACTGAACTGATAAGCACAGCCAACTTCAGAGCTCCTCAGAGCCCCAAGTTTTACAACCCCCAAACAAATCAATCTTTCTTTTACTGACTGTGTATAAAACGTAACATTTGCTTCAAGAAGTCCAAAAGCCTTCTGAATACAAAACAGGAAAGTCRCTAGGAGGGGGTGGGAAGGGGGTGAGAAGCAGTACTTTTTTAGAACGCTGACCCGTCAGAGCTAACACACCCATCTCTAACATTGACTGCATCAATGTGGAAGAAAGAAAGAAAAAGAGAAAAATGCAGTCTTTGGCAAATCTAGGGCTCCCAGTCATTAAGTCTAGCACAGAACAACTGAACAATGAAGAGAGCAATTGCATTGTAAATTTATGTTCCTTGCCCAGGTTATGGAATGCAGTGCAATAGGGCACTGGGCAGCAACAAAACCGCATTCCTTACAAAGGGAACAGCTCGAACCTCATGATTTGTGCATGTGGGCAATCCTGAATGACCTTCATGCTTTCCAACATTCACTAGAAGGCAGATTTATTTGTAATCACAAGCCAGCTGTTTTGTTTTTGGGAACAAACATATCTTTGGAAGYGCAAAGGTTTAAATTTTGTATTAAGTACAAATGCAGAAGCCAATACATTAGCTTTAAAAGCTGAATTTGAAGACTGCACTCCAAAATCCAGATTGGATACTTTTAGAAGCTGAGAGAACCCTGACAGAATGGTTGTTTGCTGCTCCTTTTTCTGTTTCCTTTGAGAGAGATATGTTCACAGTTCAATTCCATTGTAAAACAGTAGCCTCTCTAGCCTATACTCTATTTAAAAGATGTCCTGTTTCAACATAAGAGACCCAACACTCACAATGGRCAGATAAAGTGATATTGCTCTTACTGTAATAATACAAGACTATCTGTATTTTAACAAAGAAAATCCATCAAACTTTTATTTCAAACAAGCATTGCCTGTCTCTTATTYGTAATTTTCTCAGGCATGAAATAAATCACTTTTTGGATAAGGTCCCAACTGAACTGGACTGCAGCACAACAGAGCAGGATCCTAGGACAGTATTATTAAAAYAACCAGCATCTGGTCACACTAAAACCATCCCCAGGATACAATGAAAAGTAAATTCTGGGTTTTGTTTAACAGACCAAGGTGATAAACATAGATTATCTAAAGCTTCCACATCATGGTTCTTGAATTCCTGGAAATGAAGTTCTAACTTAGATTTAAAGGAACTCAAGAGACAACATTAAGCGCAACTATTTTTTGATATGCAGAGACATGAGGGAATGGGACAGGATTAATGATTTTTCCTGCACACCCAAAAATCAAGACAATTAAGAATAATGTAGAATCACACAATTCCTGATGTTCCAAAACAAATGGCAAAGAAATTCATGTTTACAAGGATGTGAAATGAAGCAATAGACTTCTGATTCTCAGCTTTCTATGAGTTGCTGTAAGGAATTTAATTGCTGCCTCACAAACTGACATACCCCTTTCTCAGGTACCTGCACAACACACCCAACTGCTGAATGAAAAGAAGTTGGAGACTGAACACGTAACAGATTTCAATACAAAACTGCCAACGGAATCACACAAGGCTCTGAGACAATTCATAAACCCACACAGGTCTTTATATAAGGTTAATGGTTTGCYAGCCAAGTGCCAAGGTTCGCAAAACGGGTAATTTTTGTTTCCTTTTTTACACCAGATTTGAACTTGGTGCATTTTTSCTAACAACACTTGACTAAAATCTCAGCAGCAACTAGCTGGGCAGAGATTTTACTTAAAGGTGTTCTCAMACACCTTATTAATGAGAGAGCACAGGAAAGCCTCAACCCTTCCGTTCTGTACTTCAGTTTGCCGCTGCTGGGTCAGGCAGCACGACGGCAGTGTGAGCATACTTGGATGACTAACACTGAAACAGGCTGAAAACAGCAGCAATCATGACACAGACAATAAAGARCCCCGGCAATCGCACACAGCTCCAAGGAAGGAAAAATCATTAATAATCACTTTTAAAAAATGCAGAGAAAATATCGTTGTGATGCCAAAGCATACTTTCTTAAAGGCCACTTTTCATTAAAGGGATTATGTATGATATTTACAACATACCTATAAATAAAGTATATGGCATAAGCAAATATTACCATAAGATCTTGAGCACCTTAAAGAATGAAACTTTAGGGCAAACAGATGGCAAAGTATTGTAACAGAACGACTAATATGTCAAAGGAAGTGTGCATAATGCTAAAAAATAGTGATCATTTTTAAAACTGYCTTGTGAAAAGAAAGACAACAGTATACTGAGCTAAAAGAACGTAATCTTTTRGAGATCTAAATATAAGCCTCTGTCTTTACTAGAGTATTTCAAACAGAAAATTCCTCTAAAGCTTATAATTCAGGAAGAGACCAAGGCAGAGAAATAATGGGCTAAGAGGGCAGAAACACATCAAGCGCTACACACGGATGCACTGAGGGGTGCTTTAGGATGGCTCTCCCTCTCTCCTGGTGCACATATTAAGAATTCTCAAGGAACACCTACAAGGTAGCTCCTTTCCCCCGAAGAGTTCACCTCAGGTCTCCCATCAAGATAAACAGCAAGGAACATAAAAAGAGTGTTTAAGGAGTGTTTTCTACAATGTGCAAAACACTGCGCGCAGACYGGGGGGAGTAAACCAAGGAGGCAAGCATGAGGACTGGTGGGCTCGTGTGCCTCTCCTCGGCTGCACTGGAGAACAATTTCAGCTGGAGGAAAAGGAGCGCACAGGTTAGGGCAAAGCTGGTTACAAAGCCAAGCCTGACACTGAGGGTATGGGATAAAGGGTTCTTAARAGGAGGCAAGTGATGTCTGAGGTAAAGACTAAATGTTTAAAAGAGAGACTAAACAGCACAAAGAAATGGTCTTGATAAAGGGTCCGCACAGGCTGCCAGAGCAGAAGACCGTGGGCTTGAGGGTGCAGTGTACCAGGTGCGTGGGAGGGAAAGAGCAGGAAATTCGCAGGAGGAAGGTGCAGGGCACAGCCTGGAGGACGGGAGGGGAGGACAGGTGAAGCAGCCGAGGGAAGGTTCGGGGCAGGTTGAGGCACAGCGCGCTGCAGGGCACGGCAGGGGCTGAGCGGCGGGGACGGGGCACGGCGGCGGGCCGGTACCTGGGCGTCTTGGCGGCGGCGCTCTCCCGGCGGTCCAGCACCCCGGGCACGCAGTTGGTGAGCTCGGTCCAGTCGGCGTGCAGCCCGCAGCTCCAGCCCGTGGAGAAGCGGGAGAAGAGCCAGGTCTCCCGGCGGTTGGGCCGGTAGCAGGTGCACTTCTTCTGCCCGGGCCGGCAGTCGCAGGGCACYTCCAGCCGCACGTTCTGCACCAGGTGGCGGCCGAAGGTGGTGCCGCCGGTCTTCTGGATGTGCAGAAAGACGATCACGTCCTCGCCCTTCATGTCGAAGGCGAGCTCCCGCTCCAGCTCCCGCACGGGGAAGTAGTACTTCTTCACGTAGTGCGGGTCCGGCGTGGGAAAGAGGTCCAGCTCCTCCGAGTAGGAGCGGCCGCTGGGGGAACCCAGGCTCAGCCCCGGCCCCACGTACTGGTACAGGATAAGCATGAAGCACACCGAGACGGCCACGATCAGCAAGAACTTGCTGGTCCTCTCAACCATGGTCCTTCCCGCACGCTTCATGTGTCACCATCTCCCGGGGCTGCCGGCGCTGGGCAGACTGCGGCGGTGCCGGGGGGTGGGCGGCGGAGCTTCGGCTTCTGTGCCAGCCGCCTCCCCCCGCTGCTCCCCGGAGCGGAGTCTTCCCCGGGGGCGGCGGGCCGCTCCCTGGGTCGCCTCGGCTCGCCGCCGTCCCCGCCCGCCCCGCCGCGGGCAGCGCCGGGAGCGGGGCAGGGGCAGCCCGCAGCCAGCCGCTCCGCAGGCGCCGCGGCACAGCGGCGAACTTGGGAGAGAGGGGCAGGAGGGGGGCGGAGAGGCAGCGAAAGGCGAGAACCAGCCCCCTCCCGCCCTCCCCTCCCCGCGCTTCAGGAAGCCACCCCCATTCCGGCGCTGCCTCCGCCGTGCCCCGGCCCCCGCGGCACCGGCGCGGCTGTGCCCGCCCCCGCCGCCGGCTGCACCCGGGCTCGGCTCGGCTCGGCTCAGATCGGCTCGGCTCGGATGAGCTCGGCTCGGATCAGATCGGATCGGCTCGGCCGGCAGCGAGCGCTTCCTGCCCGCGCCCGGCATGCACAGCGCCGCCGCCCGCGCCGCCCCGCGCCCGGGGCGCACACACACACACACACACACAGCAACACACACAGACAGACACACAGACAGACACACAGACAGACACACAGACAGCGACCGACCGACCGGGGCACACACACACACACGCACAGCAACATACACACACACAGACACACACACACACACACAGACAGCGAGCGAGAGACCGGGGCACACACACGCACGCACAGCAACACACACACAGACATACAGACACACAGACAGCGAGCGAGAGACCGGGGCGCACACACACAGCAACACACACACACAGCGAGCGAGCGAGCGACCGGGGCGCACACACACATACACACACAGGCACCGGCCGGCGGTGGCGGGCACACACACACACACACACACCCCCACACCGACCGGCGCCGCCCGCAGCCCGGCTCGGCCGCCGGCAGCGCTCCGCGGGCCCCCGCCGAAATCACCGGCACTGCAGTCCTAGGTGGGCTGGGAGGCGGCTGCGGCTCACCGGAGCACTCGACTCTTAGCGCTTCCTTTATGTGCCGCTTTAAAATGAATCCCGAAAGCGGAGCTCGGCGCTGCTCCGGAGATAGATTTCTGCTCCCCTTTGGAGGCAGCAGTATTAGTAAGGAGAACATTTGCATGGGAATAGGAGTGGGTCTTGCCACATGTGTGTGCTCCCGCTGCGGCCGCACATGAGCCACCGCAAGCCTCTGATTGCAATGTCGCAACTGGATGCAAGAGGAAAATGCCCCGGCCACACAGAGAGTGATGATGGCTTGGAGCAGGAAAAAGCCTGGGCACACCATCAGCCACAGAAGGTGTACATAATAATAATAGGTGAAGCTGAGGGGGGGAAAAAAAACCAACAGAGGTGTTATCTATAGCAAACTTTCCCAGCGAAATGCTTTGTGCTGCTCAGTCAGGCGGACTCCACCCGGCAGCGTATAGGTCTGTTTGCCGTATAGGTCTCCCAAAMGAAGCAGCGCTTTGAGAACGCCAGGAAGTGCCAAGCACGGAGCCGGCTCACAGCGATGTCCTCTTGTAGGGCAGCACTTAGCAGCGGGAGATGTTGCTGCGAGGATCGGAGCCGCGGAGCCCGGCCGGGGTGCTCAGAGCCGGGCATCACCTTAGCGGAGCGGAGCGGAGTGTGCCGCGGCAGGGGCCCGAAGGTCTGTGGGTCACTGCCACCGAGCAACCAGACAAACACTGCAAATCGCCATTTGGTGCCTCTCTCCCGTGACTGTAAACGGAGGATGAAACACGGCCCCAATGTAAAAGAGTGAGGCTAAATGTAGTGGCATTCATGCTGCCACCTCGTCGAGACATCAGTTATTGTCCACGCAGAATAAATGATATGAACAATTGTTAATGTCTAGCCAAAAAAGTCTAACTGAGGTRCCCTATTCTCCTATAATTACTGCCGATGGAGAAAGTTTCCGTTAGTTTCTGGTGCTTTTTAAAATAGAAGTTACAGCTAGATTTTAGTGCTCCAGCACTGAAATGTTCCATCAGGTTACATTTTTTAATCCAAGTTATGCCTTATGTAAATGTAAAGGAATTCATGCAGATGGGTCATTGTTAAACACTGGGTCAAATTTACAGCAGCCAAGGAGGAAATGAGATCCTGCATTTTCATTTGAACACCCTGATGGATAAATCTGCTGCATTTTGAGATGGCTGCATTACTCATAAGTTATGGAGCCCCAGTGAGTTATGCAGTTCTTCCCAAACAAGTAACAATAAAATGTTTATAGCACCCAAAAGCATCATATGTTGTGTTCAAACCATTTATTCTGTTTGATMTTTTCCTCTTAAAAGTCTGCTTCTGATTCTCCTCATGTAGGTTAGTTACTCCAGAAACAATGATGTCATTCTTATGCACAAAGTTCAGCTACACTGAGAACTGTAGTATAAATCTAATTTACAGGTTTGAAATTTATATTATGGTTTGGGAAATATGGGCATGTACATGAGGTTGCACTAGACACTGCAGCATAAAAAACATGGAGCAGATTTTTTGATTGCAATGTGTTTGTCTGCAGTTCTAAACATGTAAATATTTGGAAATGCCAGAACTGTGGAGAAATCAGCAACGAAATTATTTCCAGTTACATGGGCAATTGTTAATGAATTGTTTTAAACTTTAAGGTATAAAATATTTTGCTCTTTTCTTTAGTTATCCAGGTGGAAATATTTTGTTAGATTTATAATTGTGGTGGGTATGGTACCTGTTAGTTTGTGAAAGAACACATAAAATTAAAAAAATATAAATTCATGTAAGATAAACAGACCACAAWGGAAAATGCAGTTATGGCTGAAAATTTGCTTTTTCTTTTTAAAATTTTCTTTACTGCAGCACCTTCATGTAAAAGGGGAGGGTGGGGAACATACTGGAAGCAGAAGGAAGGCCTATACCCTTCTGATTTGTATTTACTTACACAAACACCCACCATCCTGCATAGGAGACACTGCAAAACCAAAACTCTAGAGTCAGTGCTTTTATTTTTCTGAAATGCTTTGGAACACTTCCCTGATAATTCTATCTGCTGCWCTGAAATGCTGGTATTTCAAGGGTTCTTACAGGTGTGACTCACCTAAAATGATCACTTAAGCAAATACTTAAATCAATCTCTATTTATGCTCAAAATTCCATGGAAGACAATGATAGAGCAGTCCTTCACTGCACGGGGAGTTAAACATCAAGTACCATGTCAGTGCTCGTTTAGAGCAGCGTGTTTCTCAGATGAGACAAGAGCCAAGTAGAGTTAAAATAACAAGGTCTACACTTCCCCTGGCCCTTCCGTTGGAAACAACAATGTAAAGAGATGAGAAATCTGAAAATACAAGTTGTTAGTGGTGCCTGCTGTTAGGTACTGTAACTGCCTGTTTGTTCTCTGAGTTTACACATTTAGTCATTATCCATCTCTCCAAGTTGAGTTTTCCACTCTCACACCAGACCTCCCTAGGCTTTCCTACATCTTATCTGAAATTCACCCCCTAGGTCTGACTAGCTCCAGAAGCAAAGCTCTGTTTCCTGTGAAGCAGTGACACTCTGCAATCATCGAGATGCCTACAATCTAAATATTTATGTAGAAAGCATTGGGAGGGGGGAAGTTAGAGTTCTATCTCTAACCTGTGGACTAGAGGAGCTGCATTTCAGATTTTTTCTCCATATTCTCCTAGGCAAACGGGAATAGAAGGCCACCCCTCCCCCCTTTAGCCCACTGAGAAAGTTCTCTGACATTTTAGTGTTGGTCTAACCCTTTGCATCCTTCCACCCCAGATCTGAGACTGAGCAGAACCCTCTGACACAAACAAACCAAAGGTTATGTTGGCGCTTTCATAGGAATCCAGCTGATCTAGGAGGAGAAGCTGCATTGATTTTCAGTGATTTTCACCTAAGTTCCTTCAGGTACATTTGCAAGGCCTGTTGGTTTTGTACACTCCACTCCCTAACACTAACCTGTGTTTGTGAAGGAGCTATAAATTCTGACTACAAAATAATTCAGATTGAGGTGAGGTTTATACTAGCTAAATTACCTAAGCTGGGTCTACACTCAGCCACTTTCCTGGCTTTCCTAGCTAGCTAAGCCAACAGTCATGATTTATTCATGATAAGACATTGCTAGGAGTCAGGTACAAGGATTAGAAATCTTCTTAGAGACAACAAGAAATAGACACAAATTTTGCAAAAGCAGTTGAAAAGTATTTTGTCATTGCTTGCTGCTGGCTATAGGATGCCTAAATATTTATGCTAAGTCTACTAAAATATTCTAATAAAAAAYCTAATAAAATATTAACATGTGAGTTAACGCTGAGGTGAGGACAAACTCGGRTATAGTGAGAGTGTGGCTTATTACAGGAAACCTCCCATGAGAAAACAACAGTAAGAAACGTGTAAACCACACACCACCTCTGCTACCAAAACCTCAATGAAATACTTATCTCAAAGCTTAATAAAAAATAATGGCTTTATTAGGTAAGGGAAGTCTAAAAGCTTCTTGACTCAGAAGATAGAATAGTTTGCTGGGAACTAGTATAACTTAGTTAATCAAAACATTACCAAAAATCCTATTTAAACACTTAGAAAGAAATACCTCAAGAAATGTATTACTCCTTAAATAAAGTTCTACTGCTCACCGTTAAGAAAAGAAGAGTGTACTTTGTTTCTGGAGGATAAACTCCCAGTTAGCCCAAAGAGGTTGAAACAAACCCCTTGTTATCCCAATTGAGCTGTTTGGGTTTTATAACCCAGCTCCTTTAGGAAGGGTAGGCATGTGATCCTCACTTGCTTTGCTGCTCTGTGTGTGTACACAATCTCCTGAGTGAATTGTGAGGAGTCAGGAGCCACAGACTGTAGCCCTTGGCCTATAAGATCACCATTCAGACCCATAGCACAGTGCAGAGCTCTGCTTTTGCTGATACCAATTGCTTTTTGTTGTCCCCTGCTGCTGCAGCCTTGGTGGCAGTTACCAGCCGTTCACATTTGCACACAGGGGCAGCTCTCACACATCATTTCCCTGTGATATCCGTACTCCTAGCTGGAAACCTGTAGCAGTTTGTAAACTCTTCTGTAAATGCTCTGTGGCTCCACTGCCAGTGCTGTAGGTTCATCACAACCCCACAGAGCTGTCACAGCCAGCAAGGGATCACTGATCCCTGAGTACAGCATGGTTCCATTCCATTCAAGGAAGCAGGTATTGAATGATGCCAAAACCTGGTGCTGATTTCAGGCTCTTGCATCGCTTTTGGGGGCCACTGAAA